CCCTTTTCCTTGTTGTCGTTGATGAAATTCAAGAGGCCGTTGCCCAGTTCCGGCCAAAACTGGGTCCAAAATTCTTTGGGCAAACCATCGATACCTGGTGCCTTGTCGTTTCCCATCTGGGCCAGGGCTGCGTGAAGTTCTTCTGAGGTGATTGGTTTGTCCAGATCCTCCGTATGATTATGCGTGATCGTTCTATCTAGGTGCCTCATCATGTGCTGTCGGGCATTGATATTTGCTGTTGGAGGGGGGGATGGGGTCTTGGCCTCGTAGAGATCAGCATAGAAGGATCTGGCGATCCTTACCATGTCTGTGCCAGTTGACTTTGTCTTCCCATGATCTGTTGGGTCCTTCAGCCCCTCTATCATGTTGTTCCTAGCATTGGCCTTGATTTTGGAGAAGAAGAATTTAAACATGGATTCGTTAAGACTGTAGTCGGTCATTCGGGCGCAAATTTGTAGGCCTCTGAGTTCCGATGTTCTCCATTCATTTAGTTCATCTTTGGTCGACTGGAGTAGGTTGTGGTAGAAGAAGTTGGTATGGTCGGATACGAGGTTGGCCTCTGCCACTTCGAGAGCGATCTTCAGTTCTTCCTTCCTTAGTCTGTGTTCTGCTGCTATGGTTCTAGACTCCACTCAAACCGTTTGGGATAGGTCTATGAGAAAAAGATTGATCTGAGCTTATGGTGTCTTTTTTTTTTTTTGGTCAAACGTCGTCTCCACAAGGCACCTTCAAGCATCCACCGAAGAGCTAAGTAAGGTTTCTTGACGACTCTTTGGCTCTTTGGTATGGTATGATGGATGGGAGTAATTGGGTGGTTCTGGAGATTCAGACGTTTCTTACTTCTAAAATAGGTTTGATCGACAATAAAACCAGCTCTAAGCCACTAACTGGCCTACCTTCTTCCCCCGAACACAACTCACCCTCATTTTGACTGAATCGGGCTGCAAACATACCTTGTATACGTTCATTTTCAGGGTGCGCTATGTTCGGGGGAAGACGGTAGCTCAGTTGGTACACCCCTGAACAGTTGAAAAGTTCGAACTCCACAAGAAGCAGACGAGTAAAATACTACAAAGGAAAAGCAAACCACCTCTGAGCGTGGAGCACACATGGGGAGCGAGTTGAAGTATAAGAAGATCCATAACATGCGGAACGTTCAGACTGCAAAACATCCCGCACCAGTCATGCCAGCAGCCCACAGAATAAGTAATCGCCTCATACAATGCCAAGTACGAAGCCAGGTGGGATGCACCTGCACCAACGAGAGTGTGGAGCAAGCGGGGCCCCATATCAGGCCCCCTCAGCAGTTTAAGGGGTAGTGCCAAAATCAAGGTATCCAAGCCGAAGAATGGGCCCTTTTGCTCCCACATCAGGGCCTAGGGTGCACCTAGGGTGCTGTAGGCCCCATGTCAGGCCCCCTCAGCAGCCTAAGGGGTAGTGCCAAAATCAAGGTATCCAAGCAGAAGAATGGGCCCGTTTGGTCCCACATCAGCAGGGCCTAGGGTGCACCTAGGGTGCTGTACAAGCTCACCCCAACTAGACCATCAAACAAATGCCACATCAGCCGCCCGGGGGAAGACATACCTGCTGACCTAAGCTGAGGGAGAGTTGAATGAGGACCACGCCAGAATGGCCAGTGGCTCAGTGCTAGGACTTCATAACGATAGGGTCGCTGGTAGGGTCGCTGGTAGGGTCGCTGGTAGGGTCGCTGGCCCTCTATACATCAACAGGAACTGCTTGGAACAGTAGGTTGTTATGATTCTGGTTGTCCGTTGTCTGAAGACCAACACTCACTCACATAAACTTCCAGGTATGCCCATATATACACAGAAGGAAGGGGAGAGAGGATAGGAGTATCAAACCGCACAGGGAGAGATAAACACAGCGGAAGACTTCACCATGCGATATGACAGGGTACACTGAAAGTGCCATTCACTCCACTCAATCCTCACAACCAGTCATAATGAAAAGCCTAGTAGATCACATCCAGGAAACAATGAAACAATGATAGTCTGAACCCAGTATCAACACTGTTTATTATACTCAGAGTCTCGAATTGTCAGAATAACTTCAGAACTATGATGCGCTGCTCAGAGATGAGCAGCGCTTCACTCCCCAACTCTGATGAACCGCTATCACAACCCCTGATCCCTGAAACATCAAGCGCCACCCAGATACAGCCTCCTAAGGGAAGCACCACTCTGAAACAGGCCTCTGAGGCCAAGCGCCACTCAGAGGATGAAGAAGAAGACCAGCGCCACAGTATCTGATGATGACGAAGTGTCGAAAGACTTCCCGGGTGGAAGTCTGCAGCAGCGCCACCTTTCCTGACAAGATGACCTCTGAGGAAGAAGCTGCTGCAGCTATGGCTGCAGCGCCACTACCCTGGAACCCCACTTCGGAGGAGGGTCCAGCAGGGCACCAACTTCTCTCGCCTCCAGCAGACCTCAATAGCCCAGACTTCTGTTCAGCCCCGCATGCTGACAGAGTACAGTGCAGGTCCCAGCTATGGCCGGAGCTCCGAAGGTCTGGCTATGTCTGTCTCCCACAACGCTGAGCCGTCACCGCTTCCGGTTCATGCGTAGCGCAGCAGCGATGTACTCGGTAACAATTGCCAAAACCTGAACCGATGTGCTCATCCTATCTATAGACTAAACGAGCCTAGACTCGACCTAGACCGGACTGACTGACCGACGGGTCCCAATTCTATTTCGGCCTCTAGGGCCTCTCCCAACCCGGCTATAGGCTGTAGGACCATCTATCAGCTTAGGCCTTTAGGGCCTGTCTGTCCTAGGGGTAGCCCGGGCCTGCTATTCGCAGTTAGGATAACTGTAGGAAATTCAGTTAGTGCGGGCCTGCATTTTCCCGTATTTACAAATATGTCCCTCAGGAATTTTCCTTACAGACAGGTCACTCGGTTAGCCCTCAGCCAAACAAAATTACGAATCTGTCCTACCTATGGTACAGCCTCGACAGAGAGAGGCTACAGGCGACCAGAAACAGCAAGTCGTTGCAAGGTATCCTCCGCGCACAATTTGGGACCCTCCGTATTGTCAGTCTCGTACAGTCTGTGGGGTTCCATGGTAGAGTATGGGTACGAACGCCAGGTTTCCTGCACCCTCCGTATTGTCGGTATCGTCAGTCTGTACTAGTCTGTGGGGTTCGATGGTAGAGTCTGGGTACGAACACCACGTTTCCCGTCACTATGGTACCCACACAAGAGTCCACACATAGCGAAACCTAGACAACGGTAGGATCCAAATAGGGTAATGTTGCACACACAGAGGGTGTTAGTATGGGGTAGGGTGCTGGGCATTCTTGATCGCACAGGTAACATATGATGCCTGTGAGATGGCGCTTCATCCAGGTTGGGATCCGTTGGGACTTCTCATTGGGGGAATTAGCTGGATTGGGGCCCCTCAAGGGAAGCCTGGGATAGGGGGCATCATACTTAGGGAGGGAAGGAGGGATATCGCACCTTAGTGGAAAGGTAGGGTGGTTCCCTGCCTACTAGAGTCTGCGGGATAAGGCACAGATGGGGGATGCCCGCTTTGCGAAGACCCCACATCTACCCGGGTCTTCCTTGACATTAGAGTTATGGGAGGGTAGTGTCTGCATGAAGAAGATTGGGGACATCTGTTAAAAATTAAAATTGGAATGATATAGAGAAGGTTATTAACTTCGTAGTATGGCCCCGTGCAAGGATGACACGCACAAATCGAGAAATGGTCCAAAATTTCCCAAAAAAACAAAAACAAAACCCTGAAAAAAAGAAGGTTGAGTAGTAAATCTTGTGAAACAAAAGCATATGCTGGCAATGGATACATATGTTCAGCCTTAAGGATGTGACCACTCGTAAGGAATGCAAGACCTAATTAAAAGGAATTTATGGAAGATAATTATTAAGGGTGCCGTGCATTAAGTTATAAACCGTTATTATCGTTATGACCACTCCCAAGCCTGCAATATAAAGCCCACATAGCTATCTAAACAGCAAGGTGTTGGCGTCGAACTCTGCCTTGATAAGATATAAGATGACATCCACATCAAAAAAAAGAAAAAAAAAAAGTCCACATCCACATCGCCATGTCGGCAGCAGAAAACAATACTGACTATGCTGTGGAGTGAGCTGGCAATGGCATTTCGCCCGCAACAACCATAGCCCATTGGCAGCGAGACATTTAGTCTTAGAGAGAGTGAGACAGACAGACAGACAGACAGACAGACAGACAGACAGACAGACAGACAGAGACAGCAAAAGAGAGAGAGAGAGAGAGAGAGAGAGAGAGAGAGAGAGAGAGAGAGAGAGAGAGAGAGAGAGAGAGAGAGAGAGAGAGTTGAGCCTGTTTGGGATCCTCGTAGATTTATGCGAAAAGTTCGAGAAGTCTCTCAATCAAACAAAAGAAAGTATGCTTTTGCACAGCGACAATGAGCACATGACCTGGTCATGAAATGCAAGGACTGTGGCAATCAAAATGCAGGGTGGACAGGATTAAGATGTCCTGCAAAGATGGGAATAAAGAAGACAATGAGCAGTGAGCACATGACATGGTCATGGAATGCAATGTCGTGGCCGATGTCCTGCAAAGATGGGAATAAAGAAGACAAAAGAATGTTATATCTGACGAAAAAGACAAAACAGAGACTGGGAATGACGGTAAGGAGGAAAAAAGATAATGCAGGGTGGACAGGATGTAACTTAATGGTCCAGCTGTTGAGTGTTTCCTCGTCAGTTCAAACCTCTCGCCCAAGTCGTTCAGTACATGCAGACGATCAAAGGCCTGCCCGTAAAAACCGTTTTTACTTACATCTCTCTCTCTCTCTCTCTCTCTCTCTCTCTCTCTCTCTCTCTCTCTCTCTCTCTCTCTCTCTCT